CATGTGCCCCCTGTCCAATGCCTCTACTTCCCATCCTGCTGCTCAGGTCTTGGGGTTTCCCCAGGCTTCTGTGGGGGACACCCAGCTACTTTCTTCTCAGATGGCCCCACTGGAATCATAGGTGGCTCTTGATGAGCTTTTTCACCAGTGTAGTCCACCTGCTTCATACCTTCCTGAAATTCCTCAAAGTTTGTCTTCTGCTGATAGGAAATTTCTTTGCCTCTATAGACTATGAGGTCTTTTTTCATATTTCACTGAACTCCAGGCACTTGCCTGTTCCCTCTTCCCCAGGTCCTCAGATGGCTGGCTTCCCTTCTCATTCAAGTCTCACTCTGTGCTGGTGTCCCTTCTCAGAAAGGTCTCTGTGACCATTCAATCTATAGAGGCCACCCCATCCATCCAATCATTCCAGATCACATCCTCTTCCTGGTTCTCTCCCTAAAGAGGACTTAAAATTGTTTTATCCCCTAGACCTGTCTCTGGCACACAGGATACACTCAAAAAGTATAGGTTGGATGAAGGATGGATGGACAAGTGACTATTTCTTTGGTCATTTCCTGGGTATTTGGAAAAGGAGGAGCGGTAAGTGCAGGAGTTTAATTCACCTTGATGACACTGGGATTTCATTCTGGAAATGCAGCAAAGAAGCATGTGATCAGTTTGGAAAATGATGGTCACCTGGCCTGTTGGTTTGTGACAGCCTATCAGCACCTTGTCCCCAAGGGGGTGCTACCTGCCCCTCCAACCAGTGCTCCGGTGCCGCTCTCACTGTTCTTTCTTCTGCTCTGATCGTAACGCTTAACCTATGGCTTTCTGTCCTTCTTCAAGCAGAATCAAGTTATTTATTACAAGTGAAAATGAAGAGAAACAGTGAGGCCCCATTTTTCCTCCCAGTAGGACAGTCCCACCCACTCAGATGCTGGCAGTGGTTAGGAACCTGCCTTTGAAGATGCACGGAGTCTGGGATCAGTGCCAACATCCTGCTTCAGCCTAGGGATGGTTCTTGTCCGTGAAACAAAGGCTGAAAATGACCAATAAAATCTTTAAAAGCCATTTTTTTTCAGTTTCAGTTTAATTCGACACATACCTACTGAGAACCTACTATGTGCTGTGTTCTGAGCAGGGTGGTCTCTCCTGATACAAATGTAGCGAGGTGAATTGGACGTGCCGTCTTACCACCCAGCCCAGGATGCCTTCTTGTTTGGCAAAGGATGTTGAGAAGTCACTTGGGGCACAGAGTCAGGCCCTGAGGGCAGAGGTGTTGGCAGAGACTCAAACAAATGGCGAGGGTCGTGCTGTGCCGCGTGAGAAAGTGAGAAGAATGTACTTTTTGTTCCTGAGAGGGAGACAGTGAGAAGCCAGGGAGGTGAGGGAGCAGGGTGATGAGAGAAACCAGGCCCCTGTGCAGGGCCAGGAGAATCCCCAGTGCTGAGGTCTCTCAGGACTTTTAAAAAACAGGAATGTCAAGTATGGGATTTTTAAATCGTCTGCTGCTGGGTGGTGCAATATGTACCCCCTTCTCAAGACCCTCGAATTTCGGTAAAGGCTTCTGCCCTCTCAAACACTTCATGTGAAGGAGGTTTGGGGTGGAGAGGGGTGAAGACGTGTGGAAGAGTAGAAGCATCATGAGAGAAAGCAGGACTCCCCTGGGAACTCACGCTAGTCTGAGGGGGGCTTTGATTTCTGCTGGGCATGGGCAAAGGGGTCCAGGTAGAGTCGTTACAATGTCCTGGGTGGAGGGCCTCACAGACATCATCTGGATTCTACAAAGATGGACGTATGTCTCTGCCGCATGGAGGTTACAGTCAGCCCAGGGAAAGATGGCGACAGGGTTTAACAGAATATTTGGCAAGACGATGCAGGAGGTAGCATACGTAATAGAAAATTGTGCTTTAATCCTTTCTCCTTCTCAGACAAACTATTAGATCTAGACATCCAAGAATGAAAAAGTATATTTGCAGAGGGCAAGAAAAGGCAGCCCTTTTAAGGGATGAGCAAACTATGCCTCAAGTCTATCTAAAGGAAATTCTGAGAAGTAAAGTTTTGTTAAAGAAAAGAGTGATAGCCAGGATTCATCATTGAGGAAAAATCAGATGAAAGTTGCCAGGTCACAGCTGAAGAGAATTCTGTGGTCTAAACACCATCGGGAGAGTGGGTCAGGGAAGTCTGTGGGAAGTACTCCTGCAGTGCCACCAACCAGATAGTGGATATGACTGAAACCCGGCACTGCCAGCAGAATTGTGGTTCCCAATTTCCTCTCTCCGTGTGATTTAGGTTTAACTTTCTCTCTCTACTGGGCATCAGGCACATAAGCAAGGAACCTGGCTCATCCATCTTGGCCATAGGCATCTACTCCCAGGTAGGCTGACCTGCTGAGAGGCAGAAACTGTCCATGAGCTGCCTGTGCCCAACAAGTTTAATAGAACTGTTAATCCAGGATATTTGTCAAGCTCCTTCCCTGTGGTAGTCCATCTCAAAATATGGCCCCTTCAGTGCCTTCCCTCTTTGTATGCATGGACCACTTCTTATATCAAGCAGAGACAGCTCCTTTCCTTTTCAGAGTGTGGCAGAAGTAACATTCTGAGAACAGGTCATAAAGCAGTTCTGTGCCTTCTACCTCAGTCATTTAAAACATTTGCTCCTGAGACATTCCTTCGTGGAACCGTTGGCCATGCTGTGAGAGGCCCAAGCCATTGAGGAGGCTGTGAGGTCACAACCTCAGCTGAGCTCCTGGCCAACAATCAGCATCAACTAGCGTGTAATGAGCCATCTTGGATGTCTGGCCCAGTCGAGCCTTCAGATGACCCCACCTTCAGCTGCCATCCAACTACAACTACTTGAGAGACCCCACATGAGAATCACCCAGCTGAGTCCAGTCAACTTAGAGGATGGTGACAGAGAATAATAAATCGCTGTTTTAAGCCACTGATTTTGGGGATGGTTTGTTACACAGCAATACATACCTGCGCCGCTCCCCATTGGAGTGTTCAGGACCTTGAGGTTGTTCTTGGGACATCAAATAAAATTGCAACTGTTCCTTCAATAGCCTCAGCCCTAAAATGGGATCACTGGATATTATCTCTTTAAAGAACTGCCCTTCATTTTATAATTTTGCTAATAACTCAAAAGTCTTTTGAAGATAGCTTACATCTTTCCCCAAATCTTAGTTTGGACATCAAATGAAGGAAATGGAAGGCAATGTAGTGGAATGGATGTGTCTTCTTGTCTTGTAAAAGGCCCAGCCTGGAACTTTGGAAGAGATCTTTCATGGAGTTTGCCGTGTTTGACCCGATGAGCTTGGTCTTTCACCCTGACCCTATTGGGCTAAGCCTAGAGATGCAGGGTTGTGCACAAGAGCCTCCTGAACCCCAAGCACGTCATCTCGGACTCAGAAGATCCTGCTGCTGTTGATTACGTGTAGCAGTGCACAAACAGAAGGGTTGGTTCGAATCACTAAAGTCCAGAGCTACGCTTTCCAATACAGTAGCCACTAATCACATGTGGCTGCTTAAATTTAAACTTTAGTTATTTAAAATGAAATAAAATTTAAAATTCAGTTCCTCAGTCACACCAGCCACATTCCAAGTGCTCAATAGCCTCAAGTGGCCAGTGGCTACCATATTGGAGAGCACAGTTAGAGAATACTTCCATCCTTGCAGAAAGTTCTGTTGGGCAGCATTGACCTAGAGCTATTTGTTTTTCCAAACCTTTTAACACACATGCTCTCTTCCCCTTTTTACTAAGTGTAATTTTCTGAGAGAAATATTGAGAATATGTCAACCCATAATAAGAGGAAACATAATTTTATTCACCTAATGTCTGTTAGAGAGAATGAAGTATGTGTCTTTTTTTAGAAAGAGGGAAAACAAGTATTGCTAGACCAAGGCTTCTCATAGTTTAATGTGCACTTAAATCACCAAGGATCTTGTTAAGCTGTGGGTTCTGATTCCACCTGTCTGAGGTGGGGCCTGAGAGCCACGGCTGGTCCCTAGACCACCCCTTGAGTGGGAGATTACAGCACGTGGCTTGTGAACTAGGATGCTATTGCTGCTTGAAGGGTCTGCGGAATAAATACAGCAAGTGATCTGTAAGTGGAAAGACAGAAGCTGAAGGAAATATTCTCACCTTCCAACACCAAAAGACTAAGACCAACGCCCCTGCTTTGGTCTAAGGAGAGTCACGTGGATAGGAGGCAGCAGAGTTGAGGCCTGCACTCTGGAGCCACGCTGTCCAGACTTGAGTCTTGACCCATCACTCCCTAGTGTGTCCCTGGGCATATTATCGCTAGGCCTCAGTTTCCCTATCTGTAAAATGGAAACAATACTGCATTTTTCACAGGGTGGATGTGAGGACTCAGAGAGTTAACAGATGTAAAATGCCGGGAGTGATGCCTAGAACATCGTAAACACTGTGCAGGTGGTTGTTAAATCGTTAAATGAATGCAACATACTGCTAAACAAGTGAATAGAGTTTATCTTGGATGAGTTGATTCATTTCTGACCAGTTGTATGTCGCTGGGATCCAAACAGGACTCTGATTCTTCCCTGTGGGCTGAGGAAGGGGTGGGGACAGTGGTGGGGACAATGTCTTTAATGAAAGTTTGGATTCACAAGGCATCCTTAGTCATTTTTAAAAAGCTGAAAAAATGATGGAGTCAAGAGTTGACCCTGTAACTGACGAGAATGGCCCAGGCAAGCCAAATCAGTGGGGTGGTTGTATTTCCTGTGGACAGCAGGCCCTGGGCGGGCATCCTGGCAGCCCTCACCTAAATGGTGCCCTTTTCAAATGCCTTCTTTAAACAGACTTTTTACTGTTGGCTAGTGTTGGTGTATAAAAGTCTGCATTTGGAGTTTGTGCAGGTTTTATGGAACCTGTCACTTCAATATGAGACATTTCTCTTTGGCGTGAGGCAGCAAAATAGATTTGAGTTGTTGAAGAGACTACAACACAGGTTTTTGCCTGGTATTGATCATTTTTTAAACCTTTGTTCCCCCCACAAGCAAAGAGCCCAGCCAGCAACGGGTAAAGAGATGGGGCTTCTCTTTCGACGAGATATTGAAGGACCAGGTGGGGAGGGACCAGTTTCTACGATTCCTGGAGTCCGAATTCAGTTCCGAAAACCTCAGGTAAATCTCTGAAAGGTGTGAGCTGTGTGCAGGGTGTGTATGAAGACATTTGCATAATCAGTCTCTCTTTCTGCCTCCCTTCCTCAATAAAATGTTATGGTTCCAATTCAAGTTGTAGCTGATCTGGCTAAGGTTGAAATGGAGAAAGACAAACTTTAGATGCAGCTTTGCTGTTGCTATATCAGCACCTGCCAGCACCAGCATTTTTTGTTCTTTCAGTCCAGCTGCTGTTTGTTCAAGTCATTGGAAACCTGTCTCCAGTAATGAGTATATGGTCAAATGGATTTGATGACACCACCCATTAGCTAAACCATGGTGGACCCATGGAGCTTCAGAGTGGAAACGCAGCTCAGAGACCCTCTCTTTCAAAACTTCCCAGCCTGGGGTCCTGAACACTTGACAGGCTAAATGGAAGAAAGAGAGGTCCATGGGCTCATTTCAGAATGTCAAAAAGTCGAAGTAAATATCATTCAATAACTGGAGACACAGCTGTAAAAGCTAGTTAAAACATGTTTTTCCCTTTAGAAGGAATTCTCTCGACTCCATGCAGTAATTACTCTGGTCGTCTGATGCCAATGAAACATCTGATTGTTTCTATTGGTCTATGACTAATAAGGATGAAGGAAAATGTATTAATGTGTTAATACTGTTTAGACAGAGAAAAAAAGAAAACTTTCAAAACATGGGGTCCATTGTGAGAGGAGGGAAAGGGAGTGCATTACTAAAGAAAGGGTCATTGGTCATGAAAAATTTGGGAACTTGTGATTTATTCAGGCTTTCATCGCATTAGATGTAGAAACAGAAACCTACAGAAAACATGACTTATCTGAGACCCCTTCGTGATCTTAGCAAACTGGTGACTTCTCAATAGGTAAGATGGAAATCCCAGTGTTTTTTCTTGGCTCCAGGTTCTCTTTTATATACTAGGTTGATTCTCATCTTCCAATGGGATTTTACTTTCAAAAAGAGTAGCTTCATTAATTTTTTAAAAACGTTTTTTAACTTTAAAAAGTCAGAGCATATACTGTGGGCAAAGAACTGTTCAATCCAGTGTTAATGTGCAAAATTCATGTTATTTATTTGGAGTTCAAGACCATATCAGTCTCATTCATCAGTCAAATAACATTTATTATACACCTATGCTGTATCAAGCCCAGCAAGAGTCTGCTGAGGGATGCAAGAAAGTCAAGATGCATGATCTTACCTGCAGCGGCCTTGTAGGTCCTTGAAGAAAAAACACAAGAAACTATTAAGTCATTAAATGAATATAAATGAGTGTAAACTCTAAGAACCATTTTGAAAGTGTTCTAAAAAGGGAGGGATGAATGTAAGCCAGAGCAGGCAAATCATAAGCTGGACTTTGAAGAATACACAAGATACTGATAGACAAGAAGAAGGGGGGAGAGTATTCTAAGCTGGAAAACCCTATGAGCAAAGATGTGGCAGTGGGACTCGCCCACCCCATAAAGTCCTGGGAGGACGTGTAGATGCCAAGTAGCTGTGTGTATCCATGCCTTTCCAGGCAGATTTACAACAGTAAACCACAAGAAATTGAATATCTGATTTCGGGTTGTGACACCAGAGTTCTTTCCTTATGCTGAGGCGTTATTCTAAACACATCTCAGAGCTTCACTTCAATTCCTAGTCAAGCATTTGTAACATCAGGTTTGATTTCTAAAGCTCTTCATCAGGGTGGTGCTCAGACTAGCCTCCCGGGCTGTGCCTGGAGGTGGGTCCTTCTCGGGAAGCAGACCCCTCTGTGGCTGGCATCATGCACTCAGGCAGCCTCTCTGTGTGGCCAGTTCAGCCCAAGGTCCCACCTCCAGGTTGGTCCCCATGAGCCACCCCTGGGAGTCCTCATCCCTGTCCCCCATGGGTCCCCAAGATGGAGTGATACGGAGCCCCCTTTACCTGATATTTCTTAGCCCATGAGTGGTCTTATGACCCTCTGCCACCTACATTGTTACAGAAACTTTGAAGAATGACCATAGAGCCCTGGTCATTGCGAGGGTCCCAGGAGCCGGAGCATCTGCTAGCTGGGTACTGCCTTGCCCAGTCTGAGTGTAGGCTAGTTTCACTAAATATGCATTACGTATAAGGCCGGAAGTGCATGGAGGAGTGTGTCCCTGGCAGGTGTTCAGCACCTCATCCTGCCATTACCTCTTGTGCCTCTGCCAGCTCCTTCGTCCCGTGGCAGGAAGGCCATATTCAATCTGTGGTGAAAGAGTGTGTGTGACTGTGCTGGTGACTAATCTACACCCCCAGCGTGAATGCATAAATCCAGACTTAAAGAGGGTCCCCTCTGATCCATAACAGGAGGGAGGATAAAGAGAATAGAGCAGCTGGAGATAAAAAGTATAGCCCAAGAGCTTTTAAAATCCTCTCTGGAGGCCCAAATTCCACTTTTATGATATTTGGCATAATTGGATATGTGGGGGAAGCTCGGTTTTAAATCACACAATTTTAGGATTCTCGGTCACTCATTCCGGGTCCTTTCTCCCCCTTCCCTTTGTATTCATTCGTTCAGCCATGGATATTGGTTTAGCACCTTCCCTGACCCAGGTCCCGAGGTCTCAGAGCTGACCACGTTTTACCCCGTGTCCAGGGCAGCCACGTGCGGCCCTGCAAATGCACCTCCATTGTGGTCCATGGGAATGGCGCGCCCTGGAGCTGTGCAATGGGGCACAACTTGAGGATCCTGTCAACCCGTTGTGTTGGCCATGCTGGGGTCATCCCTTCTCCCCAGGATTGGTCAAGAGCCAGGCAACTGGCTTTGGAGGATGGGAGGAAAAGAGAAGGAGAGACTGAGCAGAACTCAACTGGCTACATTGCAAAGGCCTCTCCACTTCCATCTTCCTGTCCTGCCTTGCATCTCTCCAAGGAAAGGGATGCTAGGATCACAACATTTTTTGCACAGCACATGGAAAAATTTTGCCAGTTAAGTAGACAAGTGGTGGAATTTATACCAGAGCTTCAGAAGGCAGAACAGAGGAGCCCCAAAGAGCATAGGTATTGCCCTCACAACAGCAAAGCCTCACCCTGGATCCTTGAAGGAAAAAGGTCTGTGATGATATAGTCCAAGTTGAAGTCCTTTTGGATCATTATTCTTTCTGGTGAGCCTGTGAGATGAGGGAGGGACATCACCTCCAGGCCTGGGGGGATGTGGCCAGGCCATTTTGCTACAGACAGCACAGCGTGTGACTCTACACTCTCCATGGCACCCTGAGTGGAGCCCAGGGCTCCTCTAGGACTGGGTGGGCCCCCCAAGACAGGAGTTTGCTTGGGGCCTTTGGAATGTGTGTGGCCTCTCATCCACAGGGTGGGGACCTCCCAGTTCTGAAGCTGGGAGTTCCAGTGGATTGTCTGGTCTGTCCTTCTCCCTTCTCTGTGCATCTTCCCAGAATGGTGACAGGAACCCCTTGCCACCTTGCCTCCTCCCCATCTCCCCTGCAGAAATCTTTATCCTCCCTGGCCTGACACCCCTGCCACACGGCAGGGCACGAGTTAAAAATCAAAACCCGCAGCAAAGAGCGTCCCCCGTACATTTTTTATGAGCTGTAACATCTCCTGAGAGAACGTGGTTGTTCTTCTAACCTGCAGATTGATTATCCTAGTTCCACACAGTGTCAGCTGAAGGGAGAAGCAATTAAAGAGAGCACAGGGGAGTTGCCAGGTTTGCCTGGAGAGCTCCCATCTCCGACAGTTGCCCCGAGTCCTAGGAAGACCTCGGAAGGTTTCCCAAGCCTGGCGGGATTCACCACTACCCGGACACATGATGAACCGGAACAGAGGCAGTTCACACCACGCCGTGACCATCCGCAGCATTTCAGCCACTGCCCAGTGAACAAAGCTCAGCTGTGGTGGTGCTGGTAGTAGTTGCTAATGTAGGCACCAGAGGGTTTCAGCCCAGCCGGAGACGAGGTCATGTTGAATAAAGTGTTCCCAAGTCTCTGTTGACCAGCAGAGGGCACAGGAACCCTTCCTTCTGTGTGCAATTTGCTTTCCTCTGGAAATGAATTAAAAACTGGATTTTTCTAACCCGTGAAAATCCTCGTTTATGAAAGGATACGTAAGCTAGGAACTGAGGGGCTGCCCAGAGCTCCCGGCAGGATGGAGGATGACCAACCTCTGTGTGGTTTCCCTTGTTCCAGCCAGCCTTGAGGAGAAAAGCCCACTCGTGTCCGCATCCTGGTCCTGAGAGAGAGAGGAGACCCCCGGGGCAGCCCCAGACTGCCCACGGTCCAGTCCACTGCTGCTAGGCCTGGTGGGGTCTGAGCCCAGGCCGCTTTCCGACCTGCATTCCTGAGCCCTTGACACGGATCACATGCTGGCGCACGGGCTGCCTCCCACACGCAGATGGCTCGGGAGAGGCAGAACAGGTGGCCTCCCTGATACCAGTGCATCTCTGTGGCCTGCCAGTCGTGACGACCCTGCTGCTGCAGCCGCAGGGGCTCAGTGCAGCACGGGCGGATTTGACGCCGCGGCTGGCAGCTTCCTCCCTGCTGGCGTCCTCGAGGAGCACTGCCTGCCAGCTTTTGATAAGAGCAGAAGCCGCGTGGACCTCCGTGGGCCTCCCGTCAGCTGTGTATGTGCTGAGGGGAGCTTTGGGGGCTCTTTCGGGGAGAGTGTGGCCAGGCAGCCGGGGCTCAGAGCTCCAGCTCCGGCCTGTGGGCTCACAGATGGCAAACACAGACCAAGGCCTGTTCTGAATTTCAAATTGACACAAAGGTTCCTCCAAGCCGGTGATGGTAAACACATATGGGATGTCAGGATGCTGTTGTGACAGCATTTTGCTGTCACCTGAGAGGGATAAGGCAGGTCATCTCCAAGGTAGTGGAGGCCAAGAATGTGTCCATGTGTGCAGGGAGAGAAAACTACTATCTAGAGAACGTCATCCTTCCTCCCACCCCCTCCTCCTCGTGCTCCTCCTCCCCCCACCCCAGCAGGCCAATTGTTTCTTCTTGTACTTTTTTTTTAATTCTTATTTTTATCTGACAAAGAGAACCTGTTAATTTTTTTATGTAAAAGTTTATTAAATTTGCTTCTGAAATGTCTGTTTCTATCAGCTCCAGACGTCCTCTATACCCAGCTGAGCGATGTGCATTAATGTAGCTTCCAACTCGTAATGTGGGTCCCAAACGGGACCCCAAGGTCTCACAGGGAGCCGGCGGAGCTCGGATGCTGCCGGGGCCTCCGGGGCCTTCCCAGAGGGGTTCAACGGCTCCTCCTCAGAGCAGCCTGGAACAAGGGACAGAAGCTGATTGAAGCAGACGCCCCCTGTGACATTGACTGAGGGAGCAGGAAATCACCCAGGTGTCATCCATTTGTCTGAGAACTTGCAGGGTCTGGCAGGCTTGGGAAGGACGCTGGTCCAGAGAAGTTGCGTCCGGCCCAGGGACTCAGCCCAGAGGCAACTCCCTGAGAGGGCCGTTCTCCCGTCTGCCCCAGCGTGCGGCCGCAGAGGCCTCACGGAGTTAGTCTTAGGTGAGTCACTTTTTAGCATTGGCTCCAGCCCTTTGAAAAACCAACACCAGCTTCCTTCTTTAGAGCTGGGCTTCCTAAATTTCACCATCTTGTCAAACACTGTCCTCCAGGCAAAAAAGGCCCTACAGGCTGTCAGCACCAGATGAGCATTTTCATGGAGACCTCGAGGGTGGGACAGAGAGAACCTTGGGAATGGGCCTGGGGGAGGGAGGAGACCCACTCCCCAGCTGAGTTTCAAGGGACCCCTGAACAACTGAGCAGGTTAACAGCTCCTTTTAAACCCCCACCCCCACCCCTAGGGACTCTGGTTAAAGAACCATTATGTTGTCCTCTCCTGCGTAGTCAGAGGACTCGAACACAAAAGAGGGCTGGTGACAAAGGGCAGGTGACGTCAGATGGCAGTGGCAAGAGCCCCAGGCAGCTTCTGCCTAGGCCACCTGAGGAGAAAGAGATGAAATCCGAGGGATCATACCGGCTGGGTATTGAACCTGCGACCGCGCACTGAGCCTGCCACAGCTCCCACCCACGGGACCTGAAAGCATTTCAGAGTTACGCCTGGATGGGAAGTTCTTCAGACCCGTGTCACATATCCCACCACCCGCTTTGTACCCATTTTACAGATGAGGAAGGAGATGCCCAGAAAGGTACAACAATTCAGAGACCAGGGCATAGCGGGATGAGGACAGACTGTGCTTCCTTATCGTCCTGTTCAGTGAAGTCATCTCCCTCCCTGCCTCTCGCTCCTCAGGACCAATTGGGGAACCATGAGGGTTTTCTTTAAGGAGATTATTAGAATCCCAAATGGCAAATCTGGGAAGAGTTGGAGCCCATTGCGCACATGCACGTGTGCGCACACACACACACGCGCACACGCTCCCTCACACCGGTCTTCTCTCCTTGTGGAAATGGAGCTGCATTACCTCACTTGGCCACTGAGTGGTGCCTTTGGGCCACTCATTTGGCTCCAAAGACATTTCTCTGAACAGCAACAGAAAAACATGCTTAACCTTTAAAAAAAAAAAAAAAGTACATCTTACTTTGGGTGAAATTCGATGACAGACTGAATGCACTTGCCACTGTGTCGTGGTTTACGTTCTCTCGTCTCTGCCCTTTTGTTGACTTGAGTACATGAGATTCTCGGGGCTGTAGGAACCACATAGCCAGCGGCCTGTCCTCCTGTCTCATTGGTGGAGAAACAGGCCTGTGTTGTTCACAGGGCACGAAGTGTGCCTTGCAGATCTGGGTCCTGCTGAAAGACCTCCCCAGGGCTGCTCGGGGAGCCTCACGACCTGGGGAGCTGTTGTCCCAGCTTTGTCTCTGATTGCTGCTGCTCTCAGCAGAAAAGACCTGGCACTTGGCTCTCTCAACAGCCCCTGCCATGCCGACGCTGAGGGAGTCATGAAAGGCAAGTGTGGAAGTGAGCAGGAGGTTTTTTTCTCCAGCACTGCCTGGAGAATCTTCTGGCAAAGAGGTTTCCCATGGATGTCCCTTCAGCTTTGTTCCAGACAGCCTATCCTCAATCCAGCAGACGTTTGTTGAGTGCCTACTATATGCCAAGCACCACGCCGGCTGGCTCAGTTTCTCCATCTATAACATGAATGGCTGGGTCCTTCCAGCTCAGATATTCATTAGGATTCCAAGATTCTATCAGCTTCTCTGATCTCTCCTTCATTTTGATGCCTCCAACTGATCCCAACCAGATACAACAAAGGGACTCACGGTGTCTGTGTTGTGGCAACTACATAGAGCAGTGGTTCTCATCCAGGGGTGATTTTACCTCCCAGCGACATTTGGTAATGACTGGAAAAGTATTTGGTTGTCACAAATTGGTGACAGGGTGCCACTGGCATCTGATGAGTAGAAGCCAAGGTTGCTGCTAAACGTCCTTCAATGTACAGGGCAGTCCCTACAGCAAAGAATCGTGCAGTCCCCTTGAGGGTATTATGCCGAGTGAAATAAGTCAGAGGGAGAAAGTCAAATACCGTATGATCGCACTCATAAGTAGAAGAAAAAAACAATGACAAACAAACACATAGCAACGGAGATTGGACTGGTGGTTACCATAGGGGAAGGGGGGAGGGGGGAGGGCAAAAGGGGTGATTAGGCTCACATGTGAGGGGATGGACTATAATTAGTTTTGGGGTGGTGAACATGATGTAATCTGCACAGAATTCAAAATATATTATGATGTACATCTGAAAGCTATATAATGCTATAATCCAATGTTACTGCAATAAAATAAAAGGAAAAAAAAAAAAAAAAGAATTGTCCAGCCCCAAATGCAATAGTGCCGAGGTTGAAAAACCTTGACATAGAGGGAGAGAAATCTCTTTTTGGTAACCAGAAGGACAATGATCATCTAAAGCAACGTCTTTACAGTTCTCCACAATAGTGGAGCACCCTTGTATTTTCAGCTGTCTCTGCGGTCTTTGTGAACTGTGAAGTGGCAGCTGGGAAGGCTGCAGCAGAATGAGTTCCACGGGACATCAGTTCTGGGACCATGGCCGGCAGAGTCCAGATACGGACTGGGCCCTCTGGAACTGACTGTCTTTACTCTTCCACTCCAGGTTCTGGTTGGCTGTCCAAGATCTCAAGAAACAACCCCTACAGGATGTGGCCAAGAGGGTGGAAGAAATCTGGCAAGAGTTTCTGGCTCCGGGAGCCCCAAGTGCAATCAACCTGGATTCTCACAGCTATGAGATAACCAGTCAAAACGTCAAAGATGGAGGGAGATACACGTTCGAAGATGCCCAGGTTTGCTTATCTACTTGCAAGGTGTTCACTTGTCCACTCCACCACCTCACCCTTTAACGCAGGTCCAAGGCATTGCATGCAGTTAGAATTTCAGATTTTATTATTTATAAGGCCATCAATGGAAACCATTCCAGGTGGAAGCACAATGAAATTCCAGGAGGGTTGTTTTCCTAGATTAGTTAACATTATTACGTAGAAATAGAAATTTATGGTTATATGTGTTATCTTTTCCAGGAAAATCTCAAAAGTGTTTTACAAAATCTGAAACCCTGGAATAAGTCAGGAGTAGAATCTGGAAACCATAACACAGCATGAGCGAAGTGGGTGTAGTGAGCTGGCAGGGCCCTGGGCCAAGCCCACACTCGTAACCACCACCCAACACTGCTTCCATAGTGATTTCCAGCTACGCAGTGACTGTGTGGAGCACCTCTGGATTCCAGGCCCTGTCCTATTTGATGAGATGCCACCAAGAGCAGACAGAAGCCCCTGCCTTCGAGGAGGTTACAGGCTAGTGGAGGAGAAAGACAAGGAAACAGGCACTTTCACCAACGGGAGAGGCGCCTCAAAGGGGTGAGCGCTAGGGTTTCAGGAGCCCACAGGAGGGACTCCTAACCCCGCAGGGCACAATCAGGGCACAGAGGCTGGTGAGCCTGGTGAAAGAAACAGAAGCCACGTTAGCCACCCTCAATAGCAGCTTTACCTTGAGGGCTGGGAGGGGCCATTTCTAAACATAAGCATCAGATCAGTTTCTTCCTTCCTGGCCCCTAACTTTCATTTCCTCCCACCATCCTACACCCAGGGACAGGGCTTAAGTAAGGTTTTGCTCTTGTCTCCGCAACCCTCTTCATTTCTCTCACCTGCGGGATCTCCGGCAGAGAATTTGGGTCATGTGCCCTCCCACAGACATTTTCATCTAATTTAGGAAACTCACTTGGAGGCACTGATGCAAATAATGGCATAAGAACATAACCAGTGGTCCGCATCGTCTGGATTTGCATTGTCATTTGCTCAGAACTTCAGGATGGAAACACTTACCAACCTTAACACAATAACTACTTTTTCTTTCCCCCTGGTCATGAACACCACTGAGTTCCTGTGCCCTGCATATTTGGTTCTAAAGAGTTCACTGTCGGGGCCGGCCCAATGGTGCAGTGGTTAAGTTCACGTGTTCCACTTTGGTGGCCCAGGGTTGGCCGGTTTGGATCCTGGGTGCAGACCTACACACTGCTTGTCAAGCCATGCTGTGGCAGGCGTCCTACATATAAAGTACAGGAAGATGGGCACTGATGTTAGCTCAGGGCCAGTCTGCCTCAGCAAAAAGAGGAGGATTGGCAGCAGCTCAGGGCTAATCTTCCACAAAAAAAAAAAGAGTCCAGTGTCTCTGCTTTATGAAATAGTAAGTCCCTCTTTGCAGCTTCAAAGTGAAATATTTAAGTCACGGGAAATCTTTTTTTTTTCTGATAGATTTTTCTGTGTGTGTGTATGTTCCCAAGCACACATTGATATACCGTGGTAAGGAGAGTGATGGAGAAGCTCTCTGGATGATGGATAAGCTCCCTGGATGAATGACCTGGAGCACAAAGCTCAACTCTCCATTCATATATTCATGAAACACAAGAAAAGGGATACTGATCAGAACCGTGATGCTCCCACTCCATATTATCACTCCGAGCATGACATCAGGAAGGATTTATTTTAATGCTCTATTATGAAAACTTGTAAACATGGGTGAAAGTGGAAAGAGGAGAACAACAAACCTTTACAGACCCTCATCCAGCTACAGCAATCATCAATACAAGACTGATCTCATTTTATCTGGGTCCCCATCTCCTTTTGCAGTGGTGACTGGGTTATTTTACAGCAAATCCAAGATGTTACATGACTTAATCTGTAAATATTTAGGTATGTAACATTACCATAATACCGTTATCACACCTTAACAAATTAGCAATAATCTCTTAATATCCCCACACATTGCAGTAGATCGACCAGTCTTTTAGTGCCTTTTAATCTACAGGTTCTGTCTATATCCCTCTGCTCCCCTCCCTGCCACCTTGCAATTTGTTTGATGAAGAAATTGGATTCTTCATCCTGTAGAGACCCCTTCAGTCTGGATTTTTCTGATTGCGGCCCTGTGGTGCTATTTACCCTGTTCTTCTACCTTCTGAATTCCTATATGTTGGTAGTTTGATTTAGATATTTAATCAGATTTCCGTTTGATTTTTCAGGGCAAAACTACTTCATAGACTGTGTTGTGCTTTCTTGTCAGAGGGCACATAGTGTCTAGCTCTCTTTTTGTGCTTTTAGCATCCACTGCTGTTTACTGCTTTTATCCATTAGTTAATTAGGGTGTATAAAATAGTGATGTTCTGGTCCTATCATTCTTTCTTCATTATTAGCTGAAATACAAATAATCAAATACATCTATCTGATTATCTGGTAATACAGTTCTCATAGGACAGACTGGATAAATGTTTGATTCTTTCCCTCTATTTGCCAGTTTTCAAAATAATGAGTAGTTTACTGTCATCTTCTAATGGTGACCAATTAGTATTTTTTGTTGTGTTTTTAGTATCTGTGTAAACTCATGGTTTTAAACACATTTGAGGTGTTTTAATCCATTTTGTTTATTATTCCTATCGATGCTGGATTGTGCCATCTCTGGCCAGTTGGCTCCTTCTGACAAGACCCTAGTAATCTTTGATATCACTCACATAGCAAAGAAGCTAAGATGTTCCAGGCCCTTCCCCAGATCTGGAATCAGCCATTTCTCCAAGGATTCCTGGTTCTTCTTAGTGGGAAATGGTTTTTAGACACCATAATCTGGGCACTTAAGGGTGCTCATTGTTCCTGGGTTGGTCATCATTTCTCAGCCTTCCTGGTGGACAGAGCTGGCAAATGGTTGGTTATTGTTTGTGATCAAGATACACCATGAGTTCATACTGATATTTTCTGTTCAAATTGAAAACTACAGGGGGTTTTATTTAACCTCTTCTTTCTTTCTTCTGTGCGTCCTTTCTCTAAGCTAAGAATCCTGGTTCTCAAGGACGCTGTGGATGATAACATTAGCTTTATCCTGCATTACCACAGATCAGTCTCAAAATCACAATGCCAACACCAGCAGCAACAGCATGATTGTCACCTGGTTCTTTAGTTTTTGCATAGTATTCCATTGTGTGGATGCACCATAGTTTAGTTAACAGTCCTCTCTTCTTGACATTTATGTCATTTCTAATTCAAGAAAGATTTGCTGGGAAGTCTTGGGAAGTCAGCAGGTTGTGCCTTGACAAGTTTCTGAATACACAGCCTGCATTAGTACAGTGCTCTGTCATTTTCAGGCACTTCCAAATATATTGCGTCTCGTTCTTGAGGTAGAACTAGACATGAGGATTCCCTAAGCATCTCTAAGTTCCTCATTATCTGTTAGGATTGGTCTCATATGAATTCAAATGAAACGCTCTTCTAAACCAATTTCTGTTTTCAGCCTGTTCCCTTTTGTTTCTTTAAATGTGTTTTCATCAAAAATACACAAAGTGCTTCTAACTATCAGTGTGACCTTGGGCAAGTTACTTAAACTCCCTGAGTCTTCCTTTCCTTCTGTAGAACAAAGCTGTATTTGCAGAGGGGTGGAATGAACCATGTCAGCAACTAACAGTGACTGGCCACCCAGAGAGAACCGCTATTTTGGTGTATTTTCTTCCTAAATTTAAATATATAGGTGATTATGCAAGTAGGGTAATTCTGTAGCCTGCCTTTGATACCAAACTAGGAGTAGGTTTAAAAAACAAAACATTTTCTGTAAAGGGGCAGATAGTATAAATTTTTGGCTTTGTAGGTCATATAATTTATGTCACTACTACTCAATTCTACTATTCAAAACCAGCTACATTGTAACCACACAACATAAATGAGTGGGTGTGGCTGTATCAAAAAACTTTATGGACCCTGAAAGTTCAATTTCATATAATTTTTCATGACATACTATTTTTCTTTTGATTTTTTTTTATTTAAAAATGCAAAAACCATTCTTAGCTCATGGAATATAAAGAAATAGCCGGCGGACCAGATTTGAGCCACCGGCTATAGTCTGAGACCTCTGTGCCAAACAATATATCATAAAATCATTGAAATGCTTCAAGAAATCCAGAAAGATAGAAGATAGAGGGTTGGGAGTGGTTAATCTTCAGTTTATATGGGAGAATAGGTCAGAGGAGACTTCATCTTGATGAGGTCACAGCAATGCGCCAACCTCTGCGCATGTTTCTGCGCTGGGGTTGAGTGATACAGAGCAGACTGAGAAGGAGTAGGCCAGTACCATGATCCTCATACTTCCTTACCCTTCCTGGCTGGCACTGCTGCCTGCACCAGCTTCACAGATGTGATTCAGAAGTTTCCAGGAAGGAAAGGAGGTTCAAATCCTTAGCAGCCCATGACCAGCCAGGACCTGCACTCAGACCTCCTGACTTGCTGGCCAAGAGTCTGCTGCTTAGATCACACTGTCCCTGGACTGTGAGTGCCCAGGGCTTGGTTGTCATGCTGTGGCCTGGAGGAACTCTGGTCCCCAGAGTAGGGCTCAGAGCTGGGAGCAGGCTCTGAACCTGTTTCTGCCATATGGTTTGTCTAGGATTGTACCTTCAAGTCCTTTAAGCCTGCTCTCCTCAGTTTGCCCATCTGTGAAGTGGGAATGGTGACACCTATGCCCTTTGACTCCTGCTCCCCATTGGGATCAGGAGTTCTGGTGGCTTCCTCAGCCAATCACAATGGCTCCCAGAAGCCCCACACAGTGGTCAGAATGCCGAGAGAAGGGTCACGTGCACCCTGTACTAGGGGTCTGTAGGCAGAGTGAAGGCTCAGCCAGACTTATGGACTCATTTGAAATGGGGCCTGGGGTGGGGTGTAGGCTCCCTCTGAGGATTTTGCCTTTTCTTTGACCACATGCATTGTTATAGATAAGTTAATTGCCTATATTTGCTTCCTGTGGAAACATTTCACAAGACACC